TGAGTATGACTTTTGAGTCATTTGGCCCAAATTCCAGACATGTCGCGCTCACAGAGAGCGCTTGCAGATCCCCTACGCGCTTCACTGAAGCGAGAGCCATGAGAAACGCTGTTTTGAACGACAGGTGTTTCATATCCGACGAGCGGATTGGCTCGAATGGGGCACCTTTCATGGCTTCCAGAACCGTGGAAAGGTCCCATATGGGGACTGAGGGGGGTCTGGGAGGATTCAGCCTCTTAGCTCCCCTGAGAAAGCGGATGACCAGATCATTTCTTCCCAGTGACCGGCCGGTCGTAGGTTCTGTGAACGCCGCTATAGCCGCCACATATACTTTGAGCGTGGATGGGGTTCTGCCCTTATCCAGTAGCTCTTGAAGGAAGGAGAGAACTTCCTTAATCCCGCAGTCAGGAGGTGAAAAGCCGTGTGCTTTGCACCATCCAGAGAACACCGACCATTTTGAGGCATAGAGCCGCCTGGTAGACGGTGCTCTAGCCTGTGTGATCGTGTTCAGCACTCCCTCGGGGAGGTTTGCGGGTACCCGTTGATGGCCCATGCGTGCAGGGACCATTGCTCCGGGTAGGGATGCCAGATTGAACCCCTGGCTTGAGAGAGGAGGTCCTTCCTCATCGGTATACGCCATGGGGCAGTGCTCGTCAGCTGCATCAGGACCGGAAACCATGCTTGGTTCGTCCAGAGTGGCGCCACGAGGAGCACTGAGCATCCATTTTCCCTTATCCGATCCAGCACTTGAGGCAGGAGCGAGACGGGGGGAAAAGCATAGAGGGGGCAACGGGGCCAGACGTGGGCCAGCGCATCCCTGCTCTTGGAGAAAAACTTCGGGCAATGAGCGTTCTCTTGAGACGCAAACAGGTCTACCTGCGCTCTGCCGAATGTCTCCCATAGCAGAATGACCGTCTGCGGGTGCAGAGACCATTCTCCTGCTGGAACATTGTTCCTGGACAATCTGTCCGGACCCAGGTTCAGGTGGCCGGGCACATGTGCTGCTCTCAGTGAGCGCAAATTGTGTTGGGCCCACACCAGGAGGCGTTCCGTTAGCCTGTAAAGGTTTTGGGACCTGACGCCGCCCTGGCGATTTATGTAGGCCACCACTGACATGTTGTCCGAGCGGACTAAGACGTGATGGCCTTTTATTCGGGGACAGAAGCGCCTCAGCGCGAGATCGACTGCCATCATTTCCAGGCAGTTTATGTGTAGGAGCTTCTCCCGTTCTGACCACTGGCCAAAGAACGGTCTGCCCTCGAGCAGCGCTCCCCATCCCGAGGTGGAGGCGTCCGTGGACACCACCTGCACACTCGAGGAAGTCCCCAGGTTTACACCTGACTGGTACCAGTCGTTCGCTTCCCAAGGCTTCAGGGCTGCGACGCATTCCTGATTGACCCTGAGGCGAAAATGACCGGAGGCCCAAGCTCGAGGCTGTACTCTCGCTTTCAGCCACCACTGCAGTGGGCGCATGCGGAGCAGACCCAGCTGGAGTGTTGATGACGCTGAGGCCATGAGGCCCAGCATCCTCTGAAATCTCCTGAGCGGGACTATGGTGCCGCAGCGGAAGTATTTCGCGAAGCGCTGAATGTTCAGCCTGCGCTCTGGCGATAGTCGCGCTGTCATAGACAGCGAGTTCTGTTCTGTGCCCAGAAAGGAAATCTCCTGGCTGGGAGACAGCGAACTCTTCGCCCAGTTGACTGTGAGACCAAGATTCTCGAGGTGTTTGAGTAGCATGGTCCTGTGTTCTATGAGCTCTGGTCGGGACCGAGCTAGAATCAGCCAATCGTCCAAATAGTTCAAGACTCGCATTCCCTGAAGTCTCAGAGGCGCGAGCGCCACGTCCATGCACCTCGTAAATGTACGGGGTGCAAGGGACAGGCCGAACGGTAGGACTGTGTACTGATATGCCTGGCCCGCGAAGGCGAATCTCAAAAATCGCCTGTGACGTGACGCTATTTGAATCTGGAAATAAGCGTCCTTCAGATCTATTGACACAAACCAGTCCCCCTGGCAAATCTACGCGAGGATTTTGCTGGTTGTGAGCATTCTGAACCGGCGTTTCATAAGCGCTTTGTTCAGATGCCTTAGATCCAAAATGGGTCTGAGACCCCCGTCTTTCTTTGGGACCAGGAAATTTTAGCTTATTTTAGCTTAGTTGTATTATCATTTCAATCTATGAAACATTACTGAAATAATATTAAACTGCTGTTAGAACAGAAATCATCTCCCAATGATGCATTGAGCATTGAGGTACATTTAGACATCAAGACTCAACAATGGTGACAATCAACATTTCTTTTATTTAGATAAACATAAACACTGAATATCTCAAAACAAGCTACTAAAAAGTCAAACAACAGCAAAAAAAAAGAGTAAATAAGTAAGATTTGGAATTGAAGACAATAGGACAACTGCATAATTTATTCATGCTGCAATGCATGCTTGGAGTTTTGATCTATGTTGGCACCCAGCATGCATTGCAGCATGAATCTTTTCTTTGATTGGTTGAATGGCAACTGGTAACATGTAAACATTCATACATAGCCTGACTCCCAGAAAGAAGATCAGAGACCGTCACTGGAATCTCTGTTCAATTGAATCAGTAACTGACACCATCATGTTCACCTTCACATTGTATCAGTGCGATCCAATGTGATTCACCTTAGTTTATCATGTGATGTCATGTCAGGCCATAGAATCAGTGGATCTAAAACACAATCTTGAATTTGTATTCCACAAACAACCATTAAAAAAACATGTGAGGCTTCTCCTTTATATGAATGTAAGCTTGCGCTAAATCGGCTCAATGGAGGCATCCGACCAGCACGGAAGGTCTTAACGTGTTACTGTCCTTTTCTCAAGGCAAAGTATTTTTTGATTAAATGCAATACATTTGAATATGTATTCTCTCGTTATTTTATCTGACTCCATAAATGAAAAGGTTTTTAATGATATACTGAATGTGGATCATTAATTATGAGCGAATGTTTGACTATTCCGTTTAACTCTTCAATGAAAATAATGTCAACGTCAGTTATAATAATCAAACGTAACAATTTATTATGCCGGTGTTGAGGAAATTTTAATATTGACTGATTAATAATGAACATTGCACTGAAATATCGTATGGTCTCTTTAACTGTATTCCTGAATTACGAGAACAGAGAGCCTGGTTTTTCCCTTATCATGTTTATTAAGCTGGAAGGTTTGTGTGAGACAGGAGGTGATTGGGCAGTGACCTCTGACTTCAGAGGTGAGGTGAGGAGACCCCCCCCCCCCCCCCCCCCCCCCCGGTCTTGGAGGTAGTCATAAAGTCACTCGAAACCCCTGTTCTGGGTCTCACTTAAAACCTGCAGCTGGTCTGTAAGGATGGGTGGGAACTATTCTTGCAAGAATAAATACTTCTCTTTTTATTAATTTGACTCTGAGTGTCTCTTACGCAGTGATGATGTTTAACAGAATTATTGCCTCAACACCGGGGAAATGTATCATGCCAATTTCATAATCAATTCAAAGATAATCAATACAAAACATCAAATACTCTGGAATAGAGAAGATGCAAACCCAACATACAACATGAAGCTCTCACTCTCAGCCTCACGGGCCAATCTGAAATACAGAAAAGGGCCCCGAACTTCCTGCTGCATTTCATTAGACAAACCTTTCACATGGAAACATGTACTAACAAAAGAAATTTGCATTCAGAGGTTGCACCTTTTGGGGTTTGCGATGGATTTTCACGATTAATGCCGTTCCAAATTATAAGACATCCTTTTCAGGACATCAATATAATCCCGCGGTAACTAAAAAAGAGCCTATCCTTTAGTCGTGTCCTCAAGAGTTAGGTGATCAGTCTATATAAATTCGTATTCTATTATAGAAATAATAGATTTCCCCTTTATATTATAAGTCTACCTTTTGTGGTACTCTTCAACCGTGTTCGCACTATAACAATTTGTCGTACATATATCACTATATATGTTTACATGTTATATGCTGCCTCTTTGGCTAGGCTGTTTGATCAATCAAATTTAACAGTGAATTATTATTATCTCAAAAGAATGCTCACCCCTTGATGTTGGTTCTCCCCAGAAAGGATCTTCCTGATCCAGTTGAAGGAATGTGACTAGCACTCAATGATCCAAGGTCCAGTCAGATGATTATAATAAATGTAACAAAATGTATTAAAATAATCAAATGAAAAAGGAATTCTTGTTACAGATCATAAACGAGTACTAACTAACAGATAGATACTAGCTAGGCTTGAAGCTTCTTGCCTCTGACAAATGCTGGCGTGTCAGAGGGTTGGTTGCAAGGACGAGCAATGAGTCTGTCTGATCCTTCTTCTTTTATAGCAAGGTTTCATCGGTACTCCAGCAGCTAACAGCAAAATATGTCAGTAGATAACAGCAAGCACTTAAGCTAACAGCAAACACTTCGGTAGCTAACAGCAAAAATATTTCAGTAGATAACAGCAGGATACGTTTAGCTAGCGACAGCATACCATAATTCTAAGTATATAGGGTGTGCTTATCTTTGGGCAAACCTTCTTATCATAAACAGTGGTCTTGGTTCTTGGAAGCTGTAACAGGCAGGGCGGGGGTTTACATCCTGTCCCTGACAACAGTAGCATGTCTTTAGAAAGAGTGGTTGCGGTTAAAGTTTTTCCCTTAAGCAAGTCATCCACAGTTCACAATCATTTCTTTTATTCATTAGTATATTTCAAATGTCTACATCCCTTAATCGCCCAGATATTTCTCTTACTCTGGTCATCCTATTTGTAGTTTTCTTATTATGACCTTTTCTGGTCTTCTTTTGAGATTGAGCATCAGAGGAAGCGAGTGAAATGTCACCCACATGTGCCGTTTCGATCACAGGTTGTGTGACCATTTGCTTGAGAGACCACCTTCCTTTGTAAGTCAGTTATTCATAAACTCTTAAAAACCTTATTACCTTTTGTTTTACTTATTTGGAAATGAGACATTGTACCAGTCGCACTGTGACATTTTAAATGATACCAAACATGAAAGATACTCTGTGGTAATCATTCACATTAAACTATACATTTTCTTGGGTGATTTACATGTGGTTTCAGCATGTGAGAGGGGGAGTGAGGAAGAGGGGGAGAGATGTGTTCTGAGGTGACACTTTGTCTCACAAATGGTGAGTTTAAATGCTAATTTCCAGAGAGGTCCTTTTGTTCTCTCAGGGTCTGGTCGCACTTCAAGCATTTCCTAATTTCTCAATTCTTACATGAACTTTTATGTGGTTCTTCTGGGGTAATGCAAAAAGTACTGTCTTTGTCCAGAATGACAATGTGAGGTCTTATATGTGTGGCTTGTCTCTATTATGTTTTTTCCTGTGAATATTAAGGCGTCCTTTTCGTGTGAAACCTTTCCCACACTGATCACACGTGTGTGGTTTCTCTCCAGTGTGGATCATCTTGTGTTCTTTCAGATTTCCTGAAAAACTGAATCTCTTGTCACAATGTGAACACTTGTAAGGTTTATCTCCAGTGTGAATTCTCTGGTGCAGTTTCACTGCATGATCTGTAATAAAGGTCTTCCCACAATCAAAGCACACATGATTCTTCACACCACTGTGTATTTTCTGATGATATTTTAAAGCACTCGGTTGACTAAAACTCTTTCCACACAAAGAACACATGTGAGGCTTCTCTGTGTGAACTTTCAAGTGGTTCTTCAGGGAAAATGATGAAAAATATGTTTTTCCGCACTGATCACAGTAAAATGGTCTTTCTCCAGAATGAGAAAACAGATGTGATTTAAAATTGATGGCGTGTGTGAAACTCTTCCCACACTGATCACATGTGTACAGCTTCTCTCCAGTGTGGATTCTCATGTGATACTCAAGGTTTCTTTTGTGTATGTAACTCTTCCCACACTGATCACATGTGTGTGGTTTCTCTCCAGTGTGGATTTTAATGTGATCTTTAAGGTATCTTTTTTGTGTGAAACTCTTCCCACACTGATCACATGTGTACAGCTTCTCTCCAGTGTGGATTCTCATGTGATACTCAAGGTTGTTTGTGTGTATGTAACTCTTCCCACATTGATCACATGTGTGTGGTTTCTCTCCAGTGTGGATTTTAATGTGATCATTAAGTTGCTGTTTTCGTGTGAAACTCTTCTCACACTGATCACATGTGTGTGGCTTCTCTCCAGTGTGGATTTTAATGTGATCATTAAGTTTTCCTTTTTGTGTGAAACTTTTCCCGCACTGATGACATGTGTGCCTCTCTCCAGTGTGGATCTTCGTGTGTTTATTAAGGTTTCCTTTTCGTGCGAAACTCTTCCCACACTGATCACATGTGTACGGCTTCTCTCCAGTGTGGATTTTAATGTGATCATTAAGTTTTCCTTTTTGTGTGAAACTCTTCCCACACTTATCACATGTGTGCAGCCTCTCTCCAGTGTGGCTTTTCTTGTGATCATTAAGGGTTTGTTTGTATGTGTAATTCTTCCCACACTTATCACATGTGTGCAGCCTCTCTCCAGTGTGGCTTTTCTTGTGATCATTAAGTTTTCCTTTTCGTGTGAAACTCTTCCCACACTGATCACATGTGTGCGGCTTCTCTCCAGTGTGGATTTTAATGTGATCATTAAGGGTCTCTTTTCGTGTGAAACTCTTCCCACACTGATTACATGTGTATGGCTTCTCTCCAGTGTGGATCTTCGTGTGAATTTGAAGACTTTTGTTGTTTGGGAATCTCTTTCCACAATGTAGGCAAGAAGTTTTGGCTCTCCTCAAAGATTTTTCTCCAGTTTTGACATGATATTGTTTCTCCTCTCCTTTGCTCAGTTTTTCAATCTCCTTGTTCTGTTCCATTAAGTCTGAAATAATAATAAAAAAGTTTGACATGTATATTGTTGTGGTTTAGTTCTTTCTCTTCAGTTTATTAATCAGACAAAGCCGAGTGCCCTTCTGCAGAACGACGCCTCCAGAAAAAGTGTCCAGCTAACATATATACACACTTCCTTGTACCAAATATGGTAATCCATTCTATAGATTATTTTGAGAAATAGTTTGTACCATGTAACTTTACTGAAATAGCATTCTCTGTTGCATAAGCCTTCCTTTAAGCCCCCAAAAGTCGGACCAAAGTCACTCACAGAGGAAATGATAGTATACAAATATATAGCTAAATTACTTCTTATCTGAATAATAAAATCTTCAACAACATCCGTAAAAAATAATAATTAGGAAGTGAAGACTAACATAACACCAGAACACAACTACAATACAATGGTACGATGAATTTTGAATATCAAAATGAAATCAATTATATGTCATTGGAACTTTCCATGAATTGGGCACATTGATTTTCAAGTTCTTATTTAAAAAAATAAATTATTGGCACAAATCCCCTGTTTCCAACACAATCTCTCAGATTTAGTTTTAACAAAAAAGCTTTTACACAAACTGTAGTTTTTTTTATTTTAAATGCATTTATCAAACCTGTTACCAAAATTTCAGAAAAATAACTTCTGGTTACTTTTAACTTGTAAATTGAAACAATAGAAAAACATTTATCAGTTAAATTAGGTTTTGCTTTATTTACACATTCAAAACTTTAGTAACACAGTTGCAAAAATTCAGATATAAAATAAATGTAAATAAAATAGCTCCGATAATATTTAGAAAAAACACTTTTCACTGATCTTTTTTTTTTTTTTTTTTTTGACAAAAGATTGCATGGAAATTTTCAGTTTCAGGCTCTAGATTTTACCCAGTTCAGGTTATCACGCTTGGAAGAGCCAGGTTTTTTAAATATAACTCTGATTGTATTCGTCTGAAAGAGGAATGTCATGTACACCTAGGATGGCTTCAGGGTGAGTAAATCATGGACTAATTTTAATTTGTGGATGAACTATCCCCTAATCATTAATGATGGATCAAGAATTAACACTAACCTCTTTGTTCTTTTGTATCTTCATCTTCCATCTTGCAGGGCTCTGGATCACTCATGTTGTCAATGTTCAACTGTCTTCTTCACTTGATGGGAACATTCCAGCATTTATAGGTGAACTGCATGTGGGAGGAGCTTCACTGTTGAACTGCATGTGGGAGGAGCTTCACTGTTGAATTGCTGTGGGAGGAGCTTCAAGTTCTGTGGTAGAAACAGCAGATCTGCTAATATTTTTAAAACTGCATTACATTTTTTGTTTATATTTTCATAGATGAAATGATAGTTACAAATTCATTATATTTTTATTTTGTTTGTTGGTCGATTTAATATAAACTTTTCTTATACTTTTGTGTCATATGAACAAATATTTAATTTCCAATTATAAAAATGATGTAATAAAACAGAATAATATAAAAATTAAACCGAAGCATAAACAAATTCAGTTTTGCATGAAACAGTTGATCACAAACTATAATGAAAAAAAAAGCTGTTAAGAGATTTATATCATGTAGATTTCAAAAATGGTAATTTGTTTCACTGTTAACAGTGGCACTCCTGAAACAAGCTAGAGGACCATCAGCACAGATCTCACTTTAGTGTTTGAGTTAGAAACATTACTTTGAGTCAAGAAAACTGCTGAAAGTGTATAAAACTGCTCTATAATTTTATTGTTTCTTACAATTTGAGATGAATAAAACACCAGCAATACATCAGAGCAAATACAAATCACACTCGTCTTTATACATTTTTTCTGCTTCCTTTCTGTGTTTGAGACCATAAAAAAACAGTGTATGTATGTCAATGGGCCTGTTAACACCTGATCACTTTGTGCTTTTTCTTTGAACGGATAGCTATCCGATTGTGTAAAGACCAGGTGTAAAGGCCCTCTGAAACACTTTTAAGATGGATTTAAATCCGATCACTCAGACCACATCAGGAAGTGGTCTGAGACTCATTCCAAATAAAACGAGACAAATGTAAATGCATCTGGTTGTTGAATCCACATTTGTAAATTTTACTCCTCCCAAAATTAAAAAAAAATAAATAAACGTGTGAGTATTAGACGACACGCTACTACAACACGCATCAATGCAGATGTGTAGCCAACCATCTTTTCAGCAAGCTTTGAAGAACCAGCCGCAATAACATTTTGTGGTTTTGTATGACTACAGTAGAAAAGATGTTTACGAAAATTATTTCCATGACTCATGAACATGATTAAACATTGTTAACAAAAAACATTCTGTTGACAAAAATATGATGAGGAAATGAACATTGCTAATTATTAATAATGCATCATCAATGTTTTTGAAAAGAAAATATACGATTGTTTCAAAAAAAACAATCATAGTCAATAATGTCAAGATGAACCTGAAGAGCAAAACTCAAGCACTTAGCAGGTTAATTACCTCAACCAAATGCATCCTAAAGAAAATGTATTATTATAACTTACATCTGCACAAAATGATGTAAAAATGCATGTACAATTTACCAAGCAGTATATTGTTGTAAATTCTTTGTGGTTTAGCTTCCCATGTTACACCCATTCAGCATGAGTTGCAGAGTTTTCAATTGCAGCAATTGATTTATGCTTTCTATTTTGAGTATGCAGGTCCTCATGCCCACTCTAATTTAAGGGCTCCTTTTCGTGTGAAACTGATCCCACAATGATCACTGTGGATTATCTCTGTGGATTTTCAGGTGTCTGATCAGCCTTGATTTTACTGGGAAACTGTTCCCGCAGTGATCACATGTGTGCAGATTCTCTCCAGTGTGGGATTTCATATGAATCCTAGGTTTCCTTTATGTGTGAAACTCTTCCCACATTGATCACATTCACAAGGCTTCTCTCCGGTGTGGATCCTCACATGTGTTTTCAGTTCACCTGACCAAATGAATCTCTTGTCACAGTGTGAACACTTGTAAGGTTTTTCTCCAGTGTGAATTCTCTGGTGCCCTTTGAGTTCAACATTTCTAATAAAAGTCTTCCCACTATACGCACATATAATCCTTCACACCGCTGTGTATTTTCTGGTGTGATGTTAAATTACTCCGCCGCCTAAAACTCTTTCCACACAAAGAACACACGTGAGGCTTCTCATTTGAATGAACTTTCATGTGGCTCCTCAGGGCCGATGCTGAAATTAACAATTTTCCACACTGATCACAATAAAATGGTCTTTCTCCTGAATGACAACGTTGATGTAATTTAAGACTGTCTGAATATGCAAAACTCTTCTCGCACTGATCACATTTGTATAGCTTCTCTCCAGTGTGGATTCTCATGTGTTTCTTAAGGTTTCCTTTTCGTGCAAAACTTTTCCCGCACTGATTACATGTGTTCGGCTTCTCTCCGGTGTGAATTTTCATATGTCCATTAAGGGCTCCTTTTTGTGCAAAACTCTTCCCACACTGATCACATGTGTGTGGCTTCTCTCCGGTGTGGATTTTCATGTGTTCATTAAGGGAATGTTTGTGTGTGAATCTATTCCCGCACTGCTTACATATGTGTGGTTTCTCTCCGGTGTGGATGTTCATGTGATTATAAAGGGTTTCTTTGTGTGTGAAACTCTTCCCACATTGATCACATGTGTGCAGTTTCTCTCCAGTGTGGATTTGCTTGTGTCTCGTAAGACTTACTTTTTGTGTGAAACGCTTCCCACACTGGTCACATTTGTGCAGCTTCTTTCCAGTGTGAACTTTCATGTGATGTTTACGACTTTTTTTGCATAACTTTTTTTTCTTCCCACAATGAGGGCTGGTGAAAGATTTTTTTGTCAAAAAATTCCTTGCTGTTTGTGAGGAACTCGAAGATTTTTCTTCTTTCTCTTCACTCAGTTCTTCACTCTCCTTGTTCTCTTCCTTTAGGTCTAATAGAAAAGTAAAAACATTAATTTTCATCCATCCCTCCATTCTCCAAACCATTTTTTTAATGTTGGTTAGTGGGAACAAATCCCATGTTTTTGTAGTGAGAGCTATTAAATAATTTTTACCAAATCCATCTAACATAAACTTAACACAAAACAAAAAATACAATGGGTCTCATTCATGAAACATTCGTAAATATACGAGTAAATATGAGAGTGATTTGCGCGTAAAGAGACCTTCCCGAAAACTATTCTCCTGATTCACAAATACTTCGTAAACGTCAGATGTGATAGTGAAATGTGTGTGTTAATGAATTCCAATCAGTCGTAAATGGGCGTGCACGTTCATTCTCAATTACCATAAATCCCGCCCATTAAATCCGACTAACAACTATTTATGGGCATTATATTATGACACCAAACGAAGGAAAATTTACGCCAGAACCACTTTACACACGATTTACACAAAAATTCATTCTGCTCGTGTTTCATGAATGAGACCCAATGGGTGCATAATTTTGCACAATTTTACAATTAGAATTAGCATTAGAAGAGACATGATTCTACAATGAGTATGCGTGTGTATTTCTATATAAAATGTGGTTCTACCACACGTACATTAACTTACATTTCCACACACACTGAAACAAAGAATATTGATGTATTGACACTGACAGCACTAAAACGTAAATTATTATTATTTGCATGAACAAATTAGCAGATGTACAAATTCTTATTTATGAATATTACATTTTTGGCATTGGCACAAATTGATTCTATTGTATTCAATCCTCATATCAATGATGTTTTCAGTCGCATTTATTAAATGGAGTTTAATATGAATTTCACTTTTAAGGATTGCATAATGTTAAACAAGACTACACTCTAAAACCTTAAAATAACATTTCTGTAACTGTTTAACCATTATTTATCATGTAATATTTATTTCTATATTATTTATTTATGTTCTCAGTAAACATCAAATCCTGTATACATTATGAAGTAAAATTTGGTGCCTCAAGATTGACATCACCTCAACATTTTACGGCAGTTGATGCACTG